TGGGATGAGGGGCCCAGAGAAAGCCACTAGACCAATGTGAGGGGGCTGGAAAAAGGCAGTTCAGAGGAGGAGACATTTATCTGGATCTTGAAGTTCAAAGCAGCTTTCAGACAGAGAAGGTGGAAGGGATATTCCAGGTGTGAAGAAATAGCACATGCAAAGACAACATGATATACTGAATGCCACTGAACTGTACACATAAAAATGGTTAGTTTTAGGTTATGTGAATTCCATCCCAATTAAAAATACATACATACAATTTTTAAGATTGTGTGTGTACAGGCATCTAGTACTGCAAGAGTAAGGGGCAGGGAGAGGTGGGACAGCAGTAGGAAGGGCCAGAAGGACCTGACAGGACACGAAGGGCCTTGGGTTTACATCAGAGGTCCCCAACCTTTTTGGCACCAGGGACCAGTGCTTCTATGAGAATCTAATCCTTGATGATCTGAGGTGGAGCTGAGCGGGTGATGCTAGTGCTAGGGAGCAGCTGCAAATATAGATGAAGTTTCACTTGCTTGACTGCTGCTCACCTCCTGCTGGGTGGCCTGGTTCCTAACAGGCCATGGACCGGTACTGGTCCACAGCCTGGGTCTGGGGACCCCTGCTTTACATCACTTGTGAAATTCAGCTGTGGGCATGGCCTATACCCCATTCCACAGGGAACCAACAGTCCCCTCCACTGGAAAGCTGGGAGGCTGAGCCAGGAAGAAAGACCCGTAAGGCTATGAGAGGAACAATCTGAGGACTTGGCATCACAACAACCCTAATTTGAATCTTGACTGTGGTTCCAACTCATTGTGATCTCAGGAAGTCACTTCACTTCTCTAAGCTTTGAATTCCCCATCTGTAAAAGGGGCTGTGGAGTCACTGTGAGAAGCCCCACTAACATGTGTGCTACAGAGCTTTGTGGAAAGGAAAGAGAGGGGAGGATTATTATTGTTGCTATTGATCTTAGTCAGCAGGTCTCTCTGGCACTCACCTGAGACAGGAGGCAAGGCAGTGCTAGGAGGTCCCCGTCCCATAATCAAGAGGGGTCAAGGTCTGTAAGCAGGATGCCTGCATTATGCTGCAGTCCCTGCCTGGCACCTTCATCTCCCCCAAGTCAGTTCCCCTTTGCTCCATGATGTGGGCCTCATGGCGGCAGTAGAGAGGGGACATTGGGGTGGTTAAATTTCCTGGGCTGACAGGGAGGCCACCAGTCCCAGTGGAGATGAGACCCAGGGCCCCCTCTATAAATGCTGCTACTCCTTCTGCTCCTGCTATTTGGTAAGGAGCTGCAAGAAGGGAGCCTGGGGAATAGAATGGAAGGGATCAATCCCTTGAGGGCTCAGAGTCCAGTTCTCCTGGGTGCAGGACAGAGATGACAGGTAGCAGGGGTGTCTGGCCTGTAGGGAAGAATTCCATGTGGATGGGGCCTGACCTTCTAATTAAGAGGGATCAGGGGAGGAGGACAACTAAAGGAGGCCCAAGTACCTTAGTAATAAGAGAGATCTTTGTCTTGAGAGAAAAGCAAGCAGAGCTGTATCCCCACCTATAATGAGCTGCTGGGTAGGAAGGGGATGAAATCTTCCCAGGGGGAGTCTATGGGGGAATGGGGAAAGGAAATCAAGAAAGACTTCACGAAGGTGGGCTTTGAAGGTTGAATAGGAGTTCTCTAGGTGGAGGAGGTAGGGGAAGATATGCTAGATAGAGGGAACAGCATGTGCAAACCTGGAAGTGTAAAAAAGCATGAGTATTTCAAGAACTACCTTTAATAAGAATAGCTAAAATTGTATTGAGCTTCGGTCTGTTCTAAGTATTTGACATATATTGTCACATCTAATCCTCACAACAACTCTCCAGGTATGACGAGGAAACTGAGACTCTGGGAGGATAAGCAGCTTGCTCCAAGCCACACGGGATTCCATAGCAGGCAGTGTGAGTTCAAGTTGGAGGGGCAAGAGATGGGAGCTGGAGCTGCAGAGGTTAGCAGATACTAGGATGGAAAGATGGGGGGACAGATAGGAAAGAGATGAATGGACCCAGAACTGAGCTGTGAGGCCTCATCTCCCGAGATGCAGGGCTCAGGCTAGCTGAGGCCTACAGCAGAAAAGGTCCAGACACATGGCCTTGGCAGGCAAGCAGCTTCCTGGATACCCAGTATCGCTGTGAGGGGGCCCTCATCTCCCGAGAGTGGGTGCTCACAAGCACCAACTGCTTTGGAAGGTGGTTGCAGGGTCAGAGATGGTGGCTCTGGGAGGCCCCCAGCCTCTTTACGTCCATTCTCCACAGCTGGCCTCAGTCCCACTACAGTGTGACCCTAGGCTCAGATGACTGGCACTAGACGCTTGTAAGAGTGAGTCTGGCATGGAGTTACTGCTCCTGTCCCCAGGAGGACCCAAGGACTCTGAGTCCAGTGGCCTGGCTCTAGCCCAGCTGGCAAGGTTACCATCTCTCAGCAGTGCTATACAGCCTGTCTCTCTGGCTACCTGGCCTCAACCTTTACTCCAGTGACAGCTCTGCTGGGCCCAAGGGTTTGAGCCTGATTTCGGTAAAGATGGGAGCAGACACCTGGGTTAGATGAGGCAAACAGCCAGGGTGGAGCTGGGACTCTGCAGAGGTAGTAATTCTGAGTCTCTGAGCCCTAGAGAACCACCTAGCTCTGACTAGCTGCTGATCAACACCTTGGACACGGGCTAGCAGGTGAAAGAGGGGTGCTGACAAACTGAGTCAGCTTCCAGCACCACCTAGCCCAGATGGCTGGCACTGGGCACTCTGCCACCCCCTCCCCAAGGTGCAGTGTGTCTGAGATCTCAGTGGGCTTGAAACTTTCCTGAGGGAACCGTGAGAATCAAAAAGAGGATTGTTTAAGAGAGGGGTGGGGGAGAGGAGTGTCAGGGAGGACTAAAAGCCCAGGAGGGTGTTGGGGGGGCGGGTAGGGAGACTGGGTAGGTAGAGTTTTGCAATATGCTAACAACCAGCAGGGCAGGACTGGAGCAAACTTGCTGGATCTCAATCAGGGCTGAGGGTCTGCTCCCACACCGCTCAGTTCCCTGTGTCACCCCAAGAGCTGCACAGTGTCCCCCTGAGACTGCTCCACATCAGTACCTGCCAAGATGCCTTTCACCTCCAACCTGACCTCACCTGAAGGTCAGTCTACTCAAAGGCTTCCAGTGCTCCAGGCCCCTCGCTGGCCCACTCGAACTGGTGGTGAGGATTCCTGCACTGAGTAGGTCTGGAGGCGCCCCCTTCCCTACAGTCCCTCTTAATCCCACTACACTTGGTAGAGGTAGGCCCCGTCACTCTCTCAACCTGGGGCCTCTCATTCCACAACAACCAGGGAACTGGCTTATCTGTACCCTTGATGGCCACCCCAGAGCTCCCCACCCGCTTGGGCAGTCTCCTCTTTTAGGTCCTATTCAAATGTGGGGCAATTTTTGACAGTCAGATTGCAAACTACTGTGAGCCACTTGGCTATCTGATAATCACAAGCATTTTGTTGAAAACTGACTTTTGTATAATACTGAGCCTCAAAAGCCACAAGGGGAAAAAGTTGGGCAAGAGTGGTAGAAAGCATTTTAACTGGAAAGAGGTAGTGGGAGGGGTGGGGGAAGGGAGTATGACCAAGTTCCTGGGGAGGTAGAAGGCTCCTGTCTGAGTTCCTTGAGCTGTACTTGGGCCCCCACTCATCAGGCCTCCCAAGCCTCAGCCTCTCTTGTCAGAGGTATGAACCCTGGCTGCCCAGGCCCCCCTAATCGGGTCTGTGTTCACCTAGAGGGGAGGGGTCAATGCGTCTGGGCTGGCGGAAACCCCTCCTTTCCTCTCCTGCACAGGAGTCTGATGGGACGCCCTCTAGTTGCCTTCCAAAGTAGTAGCTGCCTGCTGCAGAGAGTGATAACCTGGAGTCCCAGCTTGGGGTTCTGCCTCCCTAAGACTACAGGCCTGTGTATCCTTTCATTTCCTGGATCCAGGATAAGGTCCCTAACACCTCATCACCTTCTACACCTCAGCAAAGAGGCACCCTCGGGCCTGGCTCAGAACCAGAAAGAAGAGGCTAAAGAGGTCTTTAGCCTGTGGAGTTCTTGGGTTTGAATCATGACTCATCTTATCTGCTGTAACTGTGTCCCAGTCACCTTCCCTCTCTGAATCTGCTTCCTTCTTTGTGTAATGGAGATGAATTCAATTATTCATTCATCCAACAAGCTGTTACTACTAAAGATGTGCCAGGGGGCCACAACATGGGAGTGGCCCTGACTGGGGGTGGAAAGGAGGCGAGCATTAGTCTAAGTTGTGACAATAAAAAATAACGTGCGAATACAAACCATGAGAGCTAAGAGGAACCAGACCAATGCGTTAACAGAAGCTGTGACCTACTTGGGGCGGCCAGGGAGTAACTGTCACTTTACCAGTGTCCTGACAGAACCTTGGGCTCTGGCTCACTATTCCCTTGATGGCTGGGTGACTGGGAGGCCAGGTACCGCTCATCTGTGGGCCTCAGTTTCCCCGCTTCACACTGAGGAGCGGTGCCTTGGATTTAAGGATTCTTGCGGTTCCTCCCAAGTTAGTTGAATAAACTTTTTCGAGACGACAGTCTCGAATGCCTCAAAGGAGCACTCCCTTGTCCCGACGACGGAGCTGCTTCAGAACTCAGGCAGCAGAGATCCTCACCTGAGCCCCCAGCCTCCGCGCTTTCATCTTGTGTTCGCGGTCCTCCCTCCAGGGGGTCCCCGTCGCGTCCTCGAGGTAACACCATAGCGACATCTCGTGGCCGAGGGCCAACTGTACCACTTGGCTTACGAAGGGCCTGAGTCGGGAGTGTGCCTCAGCGCTTGCGGCGGGGCAGGTCTGAGTTCTAAAGGACACAAACTCCCGCTGACGTAACCGGATCAGGCGTTGGGCTGGGTTGCCAACCCCACTTCCACACTCCCGCTCGGGGCCTCGCATGGATTCTCCCAGCATTCTCCGAGAGGGCAGGGGACGCTGGCTGCGCCTGCGCACCGTCGCCTACGTACACCCGACTTCGCGAAGATCCAGCTTCCAAGAAACATGTCCCGCGCGCCATGCCGTCTGTTTCCAGGGCAACCCTGGCGCCTCTTAGCAATCGCGCGCGCAACCTGGGTAGTTTTCTTGTGCCCCCTGCCATGGCGGCCGCGGGCCCCAGCGTCTTCCTACTCATGGTCAACGGGCAGGTGGAGAGCGCCCAGGTGAGCGGCCGTAGACCCCGCTGGGCTTGCACCCCAGGCTTCCCCGGGGACCCGCTGCGTAGCCCCGAAGAGGCATGTCATTCCTCAGTGAAGGCGGGGGAGGGCTTGGCGCGAAGTTGCTGGGAATCCTCAACCCCAATGTGCGGACGTGGAAATAGACCTCGAGAGATTGAGCTAGTACCGAGGTCACGCTTGGCCAACCCTGTGGCCCCGGACTCGGATCGCGCGCACTTTGTTGAATCACAGGGAGCCTAACCGGTGTTTAACCAAAGGAGTGGAAGTGGGGCGGGCACCCTGGGCCTCATCCTCTCAGTGATGGACCCCGAGGCGTCTGCGCAGTAAGTGCTTCGCACTCTGAACTCTCAGATCCTTGAACTTGGGTTTGAATGGAGATGATTTGGTTAATCTGAGGCAACGATGGTGGTGACCTGGAATGATCCGGGGAAGGTGTGTCTGTCAGACGCAAGGGCTGACGCTACTCTCCATCCCCCTTACACTTTATAAGAATCATTTTATTTACGTATATGTACATATGTAAACAATATAAATTTTTCCTTAAAGTTTACCAAGTATTCGTTATGTGCCAAACTCGGTGCTCATTCTGTCCTCACAACAACCCTGTGAAGTAGATATTACTCACATCCCCATTTGACAGGTGGGAAAACTTGCCCAAAGGAAATGTAAAAGCTGGAATTTGAACCCAGATCTTTCTGACGCCAAAGCTTTGCTGCACTGCCTTTCCAGGCATTTGGAGATAGTGTTTATTGTTATATTATTGTGAGGATTAACTGAGATGGTTTAGGTAAATCTGCCAGGGCCTGATTCTTAGTAGGTGTCTTCTTGCCTTCCTGTTTCATCAGGGATGCTCCCTCGTGTACCCACTCTGTCCACCTCCCCCTTAGCCTAGTGCCGGAGACCATCTTCCCTTCTTTTCTTTCCCATAAGGGGCTCCCAGCTGGCTGCATCACATATATGTACTCTCAGCACCCACCCTGCTTCCACTCTGCCCTACCTCCCTATCCCCCCATCTCCCCCCACTCTAGACTCCTCCTACTCTTCAGGCTTTCAGCTCCAGCCTTGCATATGCTCTGTGTCCTGATAGCACCCTGGGGTTCTCACATCTTTCACTTGAGCACCATTACCTTAGACCTCCTCTGTGCCTACCCCTGTGCCAGGTGCTAGGGACACAGAAAGGTGTTACTTGCTCACAGTCTAATGGGGTTGACAAGCAAATGCTCTGGTGGAGGGAAGCACCAGGGACTGAAGGACCAGGAAGTGGCCCTTAAAACAGCTTGGAAGTTAGGGTAGGCTCCCTGAAGGGTAAGTTTTGAAGGATGAGCAGGAGTTTGCCAGATAAAGGAATGGGAAGGGCATGTCAGACAAAAGGCAGAGCTTAAGCAAAGGCCCAGAGGCAGTAGCAGCTCAAGACTCTACCTTGGACTCCCACGTCTCGAGCCCCAGCGTTGAACTTCATGTCCACATCCCTGACTGTTGCTTAAATACCAGCCCAGGTTCTCATGTTTAAAATTATTGTTGGCTGCCCCTGCCTAGCCAACATGTTAGCCTCAGCATGAGTCCCCATAAACAGATCCTGTGTGTGCTTGTTTCCACAGTTTCCTGAGTATGATGATCTCTACTGCAAGTACTGCTTTGTGTATGGCCAGGACTGGGCCCCCACAGCGGTAAGCTGGACTCTTAGGCTTCTCTTACAGCCTTGGTGACTATTGGGGTTTCTGAAGGTGTCCATCATACCCCTTACCCTCCCAGCTCAGAACCATGTGAAAGGTAGACACTGAGTTCAGGGGGGACCCAAACATGAGTTTGTTCCTGATAAATCTGGAGTGGAGAATGAGATACCATTGCGCTCACTGATCCATCCCACAAGGCTGCGCTCATTCATACCCTATCCTGGAAGCTTGCACATGGCAGCAAACAGAAATATATGGGCAGCGCAGGCAGGCCCCAGAGAGCCATCCCAGAAGCAGCTGAGCTGTAGACGCGCTGTGCCAGTCCCTTCATTGTTTGGCCTCTCCTCAGCCCATGGGGAAGACTCAGGAGCTCTCCTTTTAAGACTTCCCAAGGAACGGTCTGTCTCCACCAGGAGAGGGACTGTGATGACGACTTGGGCCTGCATCACATTTTACTGTTTACAGAGCTCTGGTTTAATCCTTACAGTAGTTGGAATCTGGATATAGTGATCAGGGAAGTCCTCACTGAGAAGGTAACTTTTGAGTGAAGACCTGAAGGAAGTGAGAGAACAAACCATGTGAAAATCCGTGGAAAGAACCTGCCAGGTAGAAGGAGCAGAGAGTGCAAGGGCCTTGAGGCAGGAGTGTGCCTGGCATGTTTGAGGAACAGCGGGGAGGCTAGTGTGGCTGGTGAACAGAGTGAGCAAGAAGAGTGGTTGGAGATGAAGTAGGGAGGTCATGGGCAGATCTTAGAGGGTGTGGTAGGTCAGAATAAGGACCATGACCTTTACTGGGTGTGAGATGAGACTCCCTCAGAGAGTTTCAACAGAGAAAATGTAATCTGACTTGTGTTTTTAAAAGATCCTCTGGCTTCTTTGTTCAGATTAGACAGGGCAGCGGGTGGAGGAGCAGGGCCAAAGCAGGAAGACCATCAGCGATTACAGTCAACAAATGGGAGAAAATGGCAGTGCTGGCAAGGTACAGCAGTGGGATGGTGAGAAGTGGTTGAATTTCAAGTATATTTTGAAGATGGAGCCAACAACTTTTTTTATTGGATAGATGTGGGGCCTGAAAGAAGAGGATTTAAGAATAATGCCAAGCTTTTTAGCCTGAGCACTTGGAAGCAGGGCTGCTATTCAATGGGAAGACTGTGGATAGAGCAGATTTGGGAGAACTCTCCAGAGCTCGGCCTGGCATGTGTTACGGTTGCGATTCCCACTAGATATCCAAGTGAAGATGTGGAGTCGGCAGTGCAGACATAATAATGCAGATCTAGAGTTCAGAGGTGAGGACCAGGCTAAAGGTACAGGTTTGGGAATTGTCAACATAGACCACATTGAAAGCCCAGGGACCTATGAGATCCCAAGTACAGATAAAGAAGCATCCAAAAACTGAGCCTCAGAGCTTCCACATGAAACAGGATGTGCAAGAGCTATGGACCGAAAGTCACCAGGAAGAGGAAAGACCCAAAGCCGTGAGGTTTCCCAAAACACTAAATGGAGGAAGGGTGTCAGGAAGTGATCAGCTGTGTCAGTAAAATGAGAACAGAGAAGTAGCCATAGAATATAGCAATGCTGAGGTCACTGGTGTTATTTACAGAAACACTTTGGTAGACTGGGGACCGGGAGTCAGCTTGGAGTGGGTTCATGAAAGAAAAACAAAGAAGGAATTGGAGCCAGTGAGTATCGACAACTTTCAAGGAGCTTTGCTCTAAAGGGAAGCAGGCATGGATGGATGCATGGAAGGAGTCAAGAGAGAATTGTGATAGAGAAAATAACACCACATGCATGCTGAAAGGGAAGGATCTGGGTAAAACTGGTGCTATAGAAGAGAGTAACAACCTACTGGAGCCATTTCCTTCAGTAAGGCAAGAAGGGACGAAACCTCGTATACAGGTAGAAGTTGGCTCTTGAGGGTGCCAATCTCTAATGAATTAAAACATTAAAGACCTAAGAGCTGCTCTGGTATCTCTTAGTTCACTTTGTTTGGAAGTTAGTGTCTTGGCAGAAAGTAATGAATAAAACAGCCCTCCCAACTGCCCACCAACGTAAGGGGAAAGCATGGCAGCCTGGAGCTTAGATCCTAGCTGTCAGTGTCACTGTCCTCACAGGGTCTGGAGGAGGGGATCTCACAGATCACATCCAAGAGCCAAGATATGCGGCAAGCACTGGTGTGGAACTTCCCCATTGACGTCACCTTTAAAAGCACCAACCCCTATGGCTGTGAGTTTGCAGGGGCCCCGCAGGGATGGGGAGGAGGTGGCACCCCATGTCAGTCTTGGCCTCATGCTGCCCACCACCATCTGCACTCAGGTCTTCGTTGCCTACCATCTGGGCCTTTACACCAGCCTTGTAATGTCTCACCACCTGGCCATTTCTCTCCACTTCTTCCTCCTCCTACCCCAGTTCATCTCCATGCTGTGCAGTTGACCTTTGGAAGGTCAGAGTGGATCAGCTGAGGCACCAGCCTGAAGCTTTGAATAAATAGCTCCATGCCCATGAAGGGCAGAGCCTGGTGTCCAGGGCTGCAGTGATCTGGAGAGCTGATCCTAATGTCTCAACTTTCCATCACAGATTTTGTTCCAGCCAAACCCGAACCACCTGCTCCTTCTATGCAAGTCCCTAACATTCCTTCTTTTGAGCCATTGTTCATGCCATTCCCCCTGCCTAGGATACCGTTCCCACATCCTACTTCTGACCTCCTTCCCAAAGTCTTTCTTGCTTGCAGTATTTCCTTTCTGCCTTGTCTGGTTGTTATTGTTTACTCTCAGTAAGTGCCTACTGTGTGCGAAGCCTGGGGTTAGCACCATAGGAGCTATGAATACTCTTTCTGTATGGGCTTGTCCAAGCTCCCTAATCCTATCTAGTGAGTAGATTTCTCCATTTCTTTTCCTGTATTAGGAAACTGAGACTCAAAAAAGCCATCAGTTGCCTTCACCTTTATACCTAATAGCTGAGAATGGATTTGATTTCAGGACCATCTGATTTCATAGTCCAGGCCTTTCTGCTTCATGTGGCCAGTAAGCGGAGGCTTACTGAGTGCAGAGTGCCTGGAGCAGGGCTTCTCTGGCTGTCTTCCTGGGCAGGAACTGCCATCCCGATGGCATCTGCCAGGAGTAAGAACCTTCCATAGCCTTCCTGGAACAGGGCACTAGATAATGACCAACCTCCTCCTACTGAGGACAGCTAGGAGAGGCAAATAAAATGTTAAAAGACAAAAACAAAAATGACTACCTGAAGGTATCAGAGAGCTAGCAAAGTAGTGATTTACCAGGCCAGGATCCAGGAGAAACCAATTCAGGAAAATCGGTCCAATAGAGGTGACTAAGAGGAGGGGCAAGACTTTTAACAGCCTCTCCGGGTTCAGCACAAGTATTGGTGTTCAGAACACTAGAAGGGAATGGGGGCGGGGAGCGGCTCAGGTAAATCTTTGCAACTTAGGCAAGACCTTAAAGAGCTGTGCCCTGAGAGTGAGGGAGAAGTGGAGGTAGACCCTTAGAGAAATTGTAGCCCAGCTGACCATTCCAGACCCTGAATATGGTTGCAAAACTCCCAAACAAAATATTTGCAAACTATATCTAGGAGGATACAAAAATAATAATACATCAAGAGCAAGTAGTGTTTATTTCAGAAATACAAAGTTTGTATAGCATCTAAATTCAGCCAATGTGATTTACCATATTAAAAAGAAAAGTCATGATCATTCCCATAAATGAAAACAATGTGATAAAATTCAACATTCATTCATGATAAACACTTAGCAAACTAGAAATAGAAGGAAACTTCCTTAATTCAATAAAGTTTATCTACAAAAAACTTAGAGCAAACATCACTTTTTTTAGTGAACTGTTGAAAGATTTCCTTCTGAGATCAGGATGCTTATTATCACCACCACTACTGTACAAATAAAAGGTATAAGAATTAGAAAGGAAGAACAAAACTCATTATTTACAGGTGACATGATTATGTAAAATTTCCAGAATAACCTGCAGATAAATTATTAGAATTAATACGTTGACATGAATGCCAGATAAAAGATTCATATACAAAAATCAGTTGCTTTCTGTATAAGAGTAAATAGAATATTCTGTACAAAAATATAAAATATTTTAAAAATAAATTCTTTATAATAATATCAAAATATAACTTGTTTTGCCAGGTATTGAACTTTAATTATAAAGCACAGTAACTAAGACAGTGTAGCTTTGGCACAAGGATAAACAAGCCGATCCACAGAGAGCCCCAAACAGACCTAAGCCTGTGTAGACAGTTGCTTGGTGACAAAGGGGCACTGCCGAGCAATAGGGAAAAGAGGGTCTTTTTGATAAATGGTGCTGGGACAATTGCACACACACAGGGAAAAAAATGAAACCTGATCCCTGCTACATGTCACCCATACACAGGTCAATTCTAAATGGGTATATAAATGTGAAGAGCAAAATAATAAAGCTTCAAGAAGAGTGAGCATGGAAGTCTAGAGCCATGATAATCAGGGTAAGGGAAGACTTTAAAGAAGCTTCATATATTTGACTTAAAATTAAGGACTATTCATCAGAAGACATTAACAGTGAAAAGACAAGTCACAAGATTCACACATACTACAAATCCATGAGAAAGACCATCCCATAGAAAAGAGAGCAAGAGACTTGTGCAGTCACTTCACAAGAGTGGACCTCCAAGTGACCAAGAAACAGGACAAGGTCTCAACTTTAGTAAAGAATAGTAACAATCACAGAAAATGCAAATTGAAACTAAAGTGAACTGCCCTATTCACCCCCTGGAATAACTCAAATTAGATTGAGAGCACCAAGCTTTGGTGAGGATGTAGAGGAGTGGGGACTCAGATCTAACACTGGTTGGAGTGTGGGAGATACCACCCTTTTGGAAACACAAGGTTGGTGTTATCTTTTAAGACAACATATGCATACCCTGGGCAATTCCCTTCTTGGATGTATGCCCAACAGAAATGTGCACGTGCATGACAAGAGCTTGTACAAGAGTAGCAGAATGCTCCTGTCCTCACCATCTGTGAGAGCCTCAAAGGAGCAACAACCCATGTGTCTGTCAGCCAGGTCCCTGTGGTCTATCCAGAGGTCAGATGTGGTCCAGCACTGAAAACAAGCAAACCTTTGTATGTGAAACAATGTGAATGAATCTCACAAACATGTTGACTCAAAGAAGCTAGATACAAAAATATATTTACTATATGATTCCATTTATATTGTTTTTTTAAAAAAATGGGCAAAACCAGAGTATCCATGTGTCCTAACACTTATTGAGCATTTATTCTGCGTCAGGCCCTATTCCAAATGTCTTAGATATGAGGTAACTGAGGAGCAGAGAGGCGAGGTAGTTGACTGAGGCCAGTGCAAGTGGCTGCAGGATCAGAGCCTGGCATGCTGGCTCCTGGCCCTCCCTGGGCCTCACCACCTCACCTGTCACCTAGGCAATGATCTTTCCTGCAACCAGAGGACAAATATTGATGGGGATGAAAGAACCCGAAATGCCTTGATGTGAACAGGGAACAGGTGTGATTGTTAACATTTTAAAGGAAGGTGCATGGAAGGCCTTTGCTTTCTCTCTGTCTTCTCCCACAGACACCCCAAAACCAACGCCTCTCTGGCCCATGAGCCATGTGTTAAGAACTTGAGTGTTATGGCTTCCATCAGAAAGGAAGCTCCCAAGAGCAGGCCCTTGGCACAGTTCACAGATGGGTCCCATGCCTTGAACAGAGCCTCTGGAGGTATTTCCTCTGTTTGTCCAATGACAGAATTGGGGCAGCATCCTGACTCTGTGACTCCCAGGTATCCAGGCCAAATAAGAGGCTTGGCCAGCAGGTTCTGGTCCTCTCCCCGCCCACCTCTCTGGATTCTGGGTTGGTAGAAGCCCTTGGTGCGGGGGCTGGGGGATGGGAGGAGTCCCATGTCCCCACCTGCCCTCCATTAAGCCCCTGCCCCTAGGGCTTTGAGCGCCCTCCTCCCTCTCTGCCCATTACCTTCTCCAGGTTGCCCACATGCTGATCCCTGCCTTATTCTTCCGCAGGGCCACAGATTGTACTCAGCGTGTATGGACCAGATGTGTTTGGGAACGACGTGGTCCGAGGCTATGGGGCAGTGCATGTGCCTTTCTCACCTGGCAGGTAGGTCCTTATTCTGACCTGCTCCCTGGGCCACAGCCAGTTCCTCACTGGGCCATGCTGGCTTAGGGCCCCGGGACAGACTTCACTTCTAGGCCAGGAATATGCTGGGATGCCCAAGGACCTGGGCTGCTCAGCGTGGGTGGTGAGGGTGCAGCCCATATCTGGTAGGAGACTTAAGTGGGTGAGGTTCATGCTGCCTCCCAAACACCAGGTGGGGTGGGAAGGAGTGCTAGAGGACTCAACAGGGAACACTGGGGCATCCTGAGAGGGGGTGGGCCCACTAGAGTGTCCTGGGCAGTTAGAGTCTGGAGTTCAGACTCATTACTTCATCTCTTCCCTCCCTCAGTGTCCTGCAAATCCTTAGCAATGTTCTTTCTTTGCCCAGCTCTGCTGGCATCAGAGAGCACAGGTGTGCCAAACACATGTGTGACCACGTGGACCCCGCCCTCAGAAGCCCCCAGAGTAGTGAACACAAAGAGACAGTAAGCACAGTCGACAGGGTACAAACATGGTATTCTGGGGCATAAAGGAGGTCCTGGGTCAGCTGGCCTTGAAGGACGGGAATCCATCTAGAGAAAGCAGAGGGAGAAGCAAGAACAGCAATGTATTGAATGCTCTGAGTATTGTTGAATCAGAAAGTGCATGATGCCAAGGGAGGGAGTGTGGAGAGGAGGAAGGAACAAGGAGAGGAGCAGTGGGACTCCAGGCTCTGAGGATGAGACTGGACTGGAGCAAGTGACCACAGTCGGGGTAAAGTCAGGGATTTGTCAGGGGCTTCCTGGAGGAAGGGCATCTAAGCTGAGCCTTGAAGATGGTGGAGCATTTGGACATTTGGAAAAAGACAAGGGCTCTCTGAAGGGCACAGTGGGTGCCAGGACCTACTTCTGACACCTTAAAAGAAACAAAACTCTCCCAAGAGTCTGAGCTATGAAGCTGGGCCCGGCCTGCTGTGTCCATCTCACCCTCCCAGCACTTAGTGCCAAGCCCAGGCCCAGCAGACTCGGTGAGTGCAGGCTAAACTGGTCGGCCTTGGCTTTGACTGGGCAGTACCCGTTCTGTGCATGCTCCTGTTCACTGGAGACTCGGAAAGCTCCATCACTTTTCTGTTACTCATCATATCTGTCTGTAAAAATATCTGTTACAGGCACAAAAGGACCATCCCCATGTTTGTCCCAGAATCTACATCTAAGCTGCAAAAGTTTACAAGGTGAGTTCTCGACATGTCACCCCAAATCCCTCCTTCTGGCCTAGGTAGTTGGAGTGGAGGGAGGGATGTCACATTTACTCCTCACTTGTGCCAGGTAACCTCACCAGATCTTCAAGCTGCTCCAGCTTTGGGGGATAAAAGGAAATGAGTTCTGTGGAGTTGCGAAGGGCTACCAGGCTCCCTTCAGCCACTCTTCACTGCTCAGCAGCATAAGGTGCACTTTTACTCTGTGCCCTGTTAAAGTCTTGGTGTCAGATAGAACAGAGGAAAAACTGTTGTCAGATGGGAAAATGCTCATGACATAATGCGACATTAAAATGGTAGGATATGAGTGGATACAGCAGTAAGAGCCAAACAATGTAAAACAGTAAGAATAATCATAATAGTTAACTTCTATCAATTGCTCAATTCCCTCACACTTAAGAGCCTCTGTGAGGAAGTGACATCTGAGCAGAGACTAAAGCTAGAACAGCAATGGGAGATCTGGGAGAAGAGTGTTTCAGGCACAAGGAATAGCATGTGCAAGGCCCTGAGGAGAATGTGAACTTAGCCTGTTAGGAGCAGCCAGGAGGTGGATGTGGCTTGCAAGTGGCAAGCCCAGGGGAATGTGGGGGGTATTGGGAGATGGCAAGGAAGCAGGGGGACCAGGATACAGGGCCTACAGGGAGCGCTTGTGGCGAGATGACAGGGAAGACTGAGCCACAGGCCTGTTGCCCCTCACCACATCCAAGTAGGAGCAGGAGGGCCAGCTGGGCCCTGGCTGACTGACTGAGGGTTGGGAACGGAAGCTTCCATCAGTTCAGCCAGCTCAGCTATAAGCCACCACTGCTTCCCAGCAGGTGAGCAAGGAATGGGCCCTGGGCCTTCTGTTCACAGCCAGGACAAGGGGAAAATGGAGGACCACTTGTGTTCCAGGGTGGCAGCTGGCAAGCAGCCCCTTGCAGACCTACCTGGTCAGTATCAGGGTGAGACCTCAGCAGAGGGGCGGCATTGGGCCTAAACCAAGGAAGCCTCACTGAGTTCTACGGCCTGGGGAGGGTAGAATTTGCCTGCTAGCCCCTCTGGGAGCAGTGGTGGGAGGAGTGGAGCAGTGCCTGTCAGTGGAAGCAAGGAAGGTTAAGGGCTATCAGAGTCCACACGGCCATCCTGGCTGGAGCATTTTTGCTGCTGCACATCCCACAGCTCTGAAAGAATTTAGGCCTCCATGTGAGATCTCACTGAGGAAATGGTTCTGTTGCTAAAGAAATTAGACCTCAGAGTTTTCAAAGCAATCGTGGTTTTTGCCAGTGCCTCAGTGCAGGGGGCCATCTCCTGCCCTTTGCAGGGGCTCTCACCTGGCTGTATGCGCTTGGATTATAGAAACTGGGGAAAGGTCTGATTAGTGAAGGCAGTTTGAGCGACAAAATCTTCCCTGACAAGGGGGTCCAGGGAGGCCACTGAGTAACTGGCTCCAGCAGCCCCACTTTGCTCAGGTTAGGGACCTGGGGTCATCTCGATCCCTCCCTCCTTCCCTCTGTCTCAAGCATCTTACAGTGAGCGCTTCCTTCTCTGCTCTCCCACTGCCTCCCCAGTGCCTCCTTTCTTCAGCCTAACTGGCCTGCCCATTTCCACTTTTGGCCCACGTTAGTTTCCTGTGACCACTGTAACAAATTACCACAAACTTGATGGCTTAAAACAACAATTTATTTTCTGACAGTTCCGAAGGCCAAAGTCCAAAGTCAGAATTGCTGGGCTGTAATCAAGGTGTCAGCAGGGCTGCGTACCCCCATCCCGCCCTTAGGCTCTAGGGGAATATCTGTCCTCACCTCTTCCAGCTTCTGGTCGCTGTAGCCCTCCTTGGCTGCATCACTCCAGTTGCTGCCTCTGTGATTACATGGCCTCCCTTGTGTTTATCAGGTCTCCCTCTACCTCTCATAGGGATACTTGTGATGGCATTTGAGGCCCACCTGGATAATCCAGGCTCATCTTCCCAAGTTAATATCCTCACTTTAATCACATGTGCAAAGATCCTTTTTCCAAATAAGGTCACATTCACAGGTTCTAGGGACTAGGACCTGATGTCTCTGGGAACAATATTCAGTCTACAACAGCACCTCCAATCTAGTCTTCACGTAACAACAAAAAAAGATTTTTCTAAAACACAACTTTAGAAACTACTTAGGCATCTCTCTCTGTGTTTAGGATTAACTTCAACAAGAAGGCTTCCAGGCCCAGCCCCTGCATTCTCTGCCCCACTGGTCTCATGCCCTCTCCTCCGCTCACCTCTCCCCTGCCTGCTGGGTCCTTGCCTGTATTGGGCTCTTGCCTGGAACACTGTCTTCTGAATAGTCTGCCTCTTCTCTCTTACCCCAGTCCACAAGCAAACAACCCTCGCTGACCTCAGGAGAGAAAAATGCAGTGGCTGTAGTCACTCTATGTCTTGGGGTGTGCCAGGGTTCATGAGGGCTGCTTCCCTCAGTCCTCATAGCAACCTGTGAGATGGGTGCTGTTAGAACCCCACTCCTCAGATGGAGAAACTGAGGTACAAAGAGTCAGTGACTCATCCATCCAGCCCTGGCTGGAACCTGGGTTCCCCGTCTGTCTCCCAGTACCCTTCATAGGGACTGGGAGTCTGAGCTCCTCACTGCATCTTCACACAGCCTGTGGACTGGGCGATTGCTCCATTTTGTCCAGCAGTGGCAGCTGGCAGACGGGTGGGTACTGGTGCCCTCCTTGAAGGGGGTCCAACATGTCAAGGTGTGCTGGGCCAGAGGGAGACCTTCAGGTCAGCTGCTGTCCTGGGAGGCTGCAGAAGATGGGCCTCTCCAGGACACAGGTACCTACCTCTGAGGCTCATAGTGCCTCTCTCCTTCCATATGGGAAGCCCCGAGGTTGCCCAGGCACCTGCATTGCCTAGATGGTCCCCAAAGCAACTGGAGAGAGGTGGCTCTGAGGTGGCTCTGGGACTAAGCCCGTGTCTGCCTGACCCACCCAGCCGGGAATAGTGCACCGTGTTTGTTTCCGGCTTAGTGGGTGTGTCAGAGGCGAGGCTGCTGCTCCGGAAGGAGCTGCCCTGGCTAGGGTGGCAGGGAGCCTGGAGCCAGGAGGGCGGGGACAGTTCAGAGGCCCCAGTGATGTCTTGCTTCACTACCCCCTACTGTGGCCTTGGGCAAGTCTCTAGTTTTCTCTTAGCCTCTGTAGACTCTTGGAGGGTCAGGTAGACATTGGGGTGTCAGGGCACTGCTGCTGAGTGCTGTGCCCCTTACCAGGGTAACTGGAGTTAGATGATAGTGTTTGTCAGTGCAGAGCAAGTATATCTTTGGTGTATCCCAGGGCAAGAATCATAGATTGTAAGGTTCTATGGCAGTTGACAGAGTGCCTTCACCTCAGAGCCCCATGAAGTAGGTACCATTGTTATCCCTATTACAGTTGAAAATATTGGGGTTCATAGATGGTAAGTGACTTGTCCTGGATTTCACACTATTAAGAGGACAGTGGAAAGTCCAGGTCTGGCCCCTATTTTTTTGCCAGACTCTGGGATAGGACCTTCCTTCCCAGGGAGGATGGAGTGGGGTCACACTGGCCCCGGGTCTCCCACCGCTCCCCAATTTCAATTGTTGTCACCTTTTCAGAATTTCCACCTGGGTTCAGGATGTGCCCCCGGCACGCCAGCCCCAAATCTCCCTCAGCTTTCATCCCCAGTGAATCATGGGGTGACTGATAGGAAAGCTGGTGTCCAGCTAAGGAGAGGGGCTGCAGTCCTGCAGGCCTGATGGAAGCCCCACCAGGTCTCCATGACTGCCACCACTGTAGCGCTTAGCCTTGCCTTTCAGACAGGCCAAGGGAGGGTGGTGTGGCAAGCTTCTGCCTAGAGCTGGCCCTGGGGGAGGACTGCTGGTTTCTGAGGCAAGGAGACAGCCCACGTCTAGTGTCTGTCTGTGGGGTATCTGGGCCAGGGCCTTACCTGGTGTTCTCCTATCTTCCCAGCTGGTTCATGGGACGGCGGCCTGAGTACACAGACCCCAAGGTGGTGGCTCAGGGTGAAGGCCGAGAAGGTAAAGCTTGATTCCCCCAACCCCACCTCCCACCCCACAGGCAGGTTGGAGCCTAGGGGGGACTAGGTGGGCCCCCTGGAAACAGACGGGGTGGGTGCCAGGGCCTGCCAGGCATACAGACACTGGGGCCGCAGGAGCAGGGCCCAGGAATTCTCCCATAGCTTTTCCCAGACACAGGTCTGGGTGGAGCATGTAGGGTCTGTCATGTCTTTCTGTCTCCACTACAGCCCCTTCGCCTCCCAGTGAGGAGTACGGGCCAGGCACTGTTGTCCCCATTTTATAGGAGAGAACACTAAGACTGAAATTCCCAGAGCTGGCTCTGTTTCTGCCTCTGTTTGTTTCTGACACTCCCTTCTGTCTCCAGTGACCCGTGTCCGCTCCCAGGGCTTTGTCACTCTCCTCTTCAATGTGGTGACCAAGGACATGAGGAAGCTGGGCTATGACACTGGGCCTCTGGATACACGGGGTGTCTCGGGGCCCAGCCCACCCCAGGGCCTCCCCCTGTGAAGGCAGCAACCCCTCCACTGCCCAGTGAGACTGTCTGACCAGCTGTGCAAGCGAGGTGGCTCCCCATAATGCCAAGGGTTGGCCACTGATCTATCTACCTGACTGAAGTGCAGTTTTGTGTGTGTGGGGTGGGGGGGGCCGTATTTTTATAAAATAAAAGTTGCTTTCTCACAGATCCCAGGCCTGGGGCTGTCTTCTCTCCCCTTTAGCACCTCCCCCATTGGAGCGGGCTACCACCCAGCCTGAAGCCTTTCCTGAGCTAGGCCAGGACCTTTTCTCACACTGCTACTCTCTGACACTGCCTGGAGGATGTAAGCACTTGTCACGCCATCCATGCTCCATGATCGCCAGCCTCCTTTGGCAAGAATAATATCCTGTTAGGAGAAGCTGGAATGGGGAGGCCCCCAGCCAGCCCTCTGCCTGTCCCTGAGCAAAGCCCAGAGGACAGGCTAAAAACCTCCCATCCGGGGAAGCTACTAGAATTCCAGGTTTCTGGCAAGTCTCATGGCAGGAGAGAAAGACGAGCCTCGTGGCCCAGCACCCTGAACTCTGGGTTGAGCACTCTCAGCACACAGGTCCCATGGCACTATGGTGGAGTTACTGTCTCACCCAGCCCTCAGCCCAAGGCAAGGCCGCCTTACCTTCTCCCTGCACACACCCTGGGCCTGGCAAAGGCAGCAAACTTCTATTGTCCCATTCCCCACTGTAGCTTCAGGTGAACCCTCTGGGGATGGGACACAGAGCTTGCCCATTCTCCCCAGCCTGCACACCACCCTCAGCAGGATCTAAGGGAAGCCATAAAGTGCCTGCCCCAGGCTCCTGGTCAGCCCCACTACAGCCCCACACTGTCCTGGCTGTTATTGGAACTTGATCTAAGAGACTACTAGGACTGATCCTGTTCTGCCTTTTATCTGTTCTCTCAGCACCATAAGTTTAGCTGCTTAGGGCACTCTCATCCTCTGCCCCCAACTCACTGCATTCTGGAACTTGTGATCTATCATCAGCAAAATTCCTGATTCTAACTTCTCTGATTGGAAAGTTCCCTCCACCTCTGGCCCTACTGAAACCCACACTGTTCCCTTCAGCCCTCTTAGACTCCCAAATGTCACGTACCGTGGCCCTGGAGATGGGGTTTGCCCCCCATGAGCACTTCCTCCTTCCCCATTCCAGCTCCCTCAATGCCTGGGCCATCAGACCACACTTCCTATGTCCATCAAAGACTTGACTACCTTGTCTTTTCCTCCAGCTGTTCATGGCAACATCACTGTCCATGTGGATGATCTTTCCCACAACTTGGCTTCTTCCTTAGCTCCAGTGCAATGACCTTGACCTGTGCGTCTCAACAGCTGCCCACTCCCTTGGTCAGAGCCTGTTTCTTGTGACCAATGACTGTATGTCTCTAAAATGTGCATCTAAGCGTCCCTTCCCCAGCCACTCCCTCTCTGTATGCAGTTTCTTTCCTGTGGTTCCCACTCCAACAGTCCTGCATTTCATCCAGGTCCTCCCAGCCACCAACCAACCCACTTTGGGCTAACAGCCCTTTTTACCCTGCCCAATTTAGAATTCAGTCATTCTCTTCGTTCAATTCACCCATAGCTCTTGTGCCCTGTCCCTTGCTTTATCCTCACCTGGCCAACCTCAGCCCTGGGGAAATCTAGCCATCTCCTGAGGGCCAGGGGCTGGTCACAGTGCTGTCTCTGCTATGTTCCTGGCCAGGTCTCAACACTGCCAAGCACTCCCCCTTATTTCCTTAACTCTCTCTTGTAGTCTCTGAGAAAACTCATTCACACCATTTCTCCTCTCAAACCTCCAGTCCCCTTGGCCCCTCAACTGAAGTGCTCATGAGAACATGGAAACGACCAGAGAGTTCCCTCACATTCCCACCATCACATCTGGCACCAACCAACATTTGTTCCAGAGATGCCCAAGGTCTTACATGAGGCTGCCTTGCATGTGTACGAGATCCCATGCCCCTCTGCCTTCTCACAGGTGACACTCCCACAGCTTTTCCCCACCATATGCTCTCCTCCTCTGCAGGATCATTTCCATCAGCCTCCATGTGTGCTCTTATATTACAGAACAATCACACAAAGAAAAAACACTGGACCTCTGTGCATGCTTCTCTACTTCTCTGCCTCATTCTACCGCAGCTCCATGAACAGTTGAATTTTCTGTCCACTTCCTCACCTCCACCTATGCCTATCGGTCTTTTTGCCTGTCACTGCCCAGAAACCACTATCCTGTTGAGTCCAGGTGCATGTCTCAGGTTGTAGTACTGTGTGTCAGCACCTTTGACATGGTAGTTCACCCTCTTATATTTATTTTTCAACATTTTATTATTAAAATTTTTAACATAGAAAAGTTGAAATAATTTCACAGGGCACACCTATATGCCAACCGCCAGAGTCTACCGTGACCATTTTCCTCGTGTTTTCACATAACCACAACTCTTCATCTCTGCTCAAGCCATCCTATTTTTAGTGCACTTCAAAATAAATTGCAAACATCAGTACATCTCCTGAATATTTCAGCATGCTTACCATTAACTAGAGTTTAATATTTGTTTTTAGGTGGTGGTTTTTCTTTTGAGGAAACATTTACCTACAATGAAATGCATAAATCTTAAGTGTACTATTCATTGAATTTTGACAAAGGTATGCTGAAGCCCCTATCAAGGTGTAGAATGTCACCATCACCTCGAAAGCTCCCTTGGCCTCTTCCCAGTCAAGCCAACACAACAGTACAGTTAGGAACTTTGGAGGTTGAGGGCGTCTGTGCCTGGGAATTGGGATGTGGGGGGGAACTGTGACTGTCTACATGAACAGTCAAGGCTTACTGCCCCCAAGCCCACCCCTCAGTTGTTCATTCTGTCCTCCACTATGACAAAACTGTGTGTCACCAGGCCACTTCCTTTTTCTCCTGGGCTCACAGGAAGACTGCATTCTCAGGGCCCTTGTATCTAAGTGGGTCCATGTGAGTAGCCGGCTAAGGAAATGTAGGTTGAAATATGTCCACCACACAGAGGTCTGACCCATTTAAAACCTCCCATGAGGCAATCCTTCTTAATCTGCCTTTCCCACAACACCCCTAAGGCCAGGTGTTGAAGATGGCACATCATAAGGGAGCTGCCAAGGACATCCCCCATTGGGCATTTTGTGAGAAACTTATTGCATTCAGCCACAGAGAGTTTGGGTTTCCGTGGAACCTATTCTATTCTGATATAGAAATTGGTATCACAAGTGAGCTTCTGCTATAACCAAAATAAAATAAACAGCATTAGTGGTTGTGCATTAGTGGTTGGGTGGCAGGTAGGAAGAATACAGATAAAAGACTGGATAGCAGGACATTACGTGTAGAACTTTAGGTGATTCACTTACTGACCTGGGTGGGGGGCAGGCTATGTACCTATGTACCATCAGCTCCAGAGGAAAGGAATAGCTGCTAGGAGGTGTGGTATATGTTGTCTACTGTTGGCTGCATGTGGAAAGCTACCACAGTAAAGAGGTGAGCTCACGAAAGAACTGGAAATAAAGAACAGGAAATAAAGATAATCCAAAAATGTTTGTCATCAAAAGGATAGAAAAGGAAACTTTCTAGAACTCATATGGGAAAGGATAAGATTGAGAATGCTTTAATCCATAAAGGCCTAGTAAAACTCATTTTGAAGGTAACTCAGCCTTTTGGTAAATATCAGATTAAGAATATGGCCATCCCACCATTATCCCAAATAGCTTCACAGTAGCTACCATTAAGTTGGGGGGGAAATGGGGAAAAGGCAGCAAAGAAATAAAGCAGGCTTATGTCTAGGGGAGAATTTTGTGTGTGTTCCTGTTATCTATTGCTGTGTAACAAACTAACCTCAAAACCTGGTACCGTAACGACCATTTATTCTCTCATGATTCTGTAAGTGACTGACTGGACAGGACCCAAGGATGTCTCCTTTGGTGGGGGCAGGCATATGGTTTATGTGTGGGAAAAAGTGAAATAAATATTTGGTGACTAGAAGAACATCTGTGATAGAGACTGGCCATGTGTTAACCAAATCCATTTCCCATCCCCCCAAAGCAGCTTGCATTTCCTAATTTCCCTGTGCCCAGATGGAACCATGGGACCAGTTCTGGCATTTGGACAAGGGAGGAAGTCATGCACTTCCAGGTCTGGCCCCTAAGAAATCTTATACCTACCACTTTGCTCACTTGTTCCCTTTCATGGCAACTTTCAAGGCTGCATGTTGAAGGTGGCAGTGTCACAAAATTAAAGCAGTTGCAGTCCCCCAGTCACTGCTTAGAGAGCTGCCCAGCAAGGCATAACCTAGAGCATCCCTAAGGCATTCCTCACCTGTCCCGAGAGTGGACTCGCAGCTGCTCCAGGCTCTAGCAAACCTTCCCTGGGCCCCTGCTAAGTCCTGCTCCCTGAGTGGGCACCAGGAAGACAGGTCTTCAGCACAGAAAGAAGATGGGTGGGCAGGGCAGCCATAGAGCAGAGTTTAGAGCAGAGAAGGTGCTGGCCTGCCTCCTGCCTCCCTCACCACCTTTCCATCTTTGTCTCTGTCCATCTTTGCCTTTGCTATATACTCTCCTACAATCAGAACCTCTCCCACCTCTTCCTGCAAAGGAATTTCTGGCCTTCAGCTGCTGGCCTCCTCCGATCACAGGTTCCTAGGGGACAGTTATTGCCACAATAAAGCTGCAGAAGCCACGCAAGAACCAGCAGCTCTGCTATCTTGAGAATGCACAGGTTGGCCAGGCAGCTTTTCAACCAGTAGCTCTTCTGGTGGCATGGACGCCGAAGAGGAAGCAGAGCCCAGCAGGCTATCACACATCATTCTAAGCAGTGGGTACACTTACCTTATCTGTGGATAGGGTAAATCCAAAGTACACAGGCAATGAAGTGTACCCACTGATGAGAACATATCAAGGGGTAAAGGACTACAGCCAGTACCTCCACCTCCACACTCTTGCGGACCACCAGCCCCTCCTTCTCTGACATTCAGAGGCTCACTTGTGCACCAGGACCAAGTCAGTGGCCTCATCAACCACAGGCTAAGTTGGGTTCCAGGCAGGACCCAACTCCATAGCCTGCCCACCCCTCTCCTGTGTCATGGGATTGATAAAGATGGGGATGGGGGAAGGACACATATAGAGACTACATTATGATACAAATGATAAATTATATTTACACAGTAAATAAGTATCAATAGTCAACACAAGTTCAAAACCAGCCATTGGCCCCTGGGACTGAGAAAATGGCTAGGTGACACCTCCTACCATGGTGCCATCAGGAGGGGACATGATGGCATCTGTACAACATGGCAGTGGCCGGTGGCTTCATGATCAGTGCAGCAGGCAACAGGGACAAGGTGCCTGGGGACAGGCCTGTGCTGCGGGGCAGAGAGGGGGGTCTTCTTGGGCCTCAGTGGCCTGGTAGCTGTGATACTGGGGCCCAAAAGTCATGGCAGGAAGGACTCCTGACAGTTACAAAAGAATTACCGACCCAAGGAGTCAAGTTTAGTATGACCTGGGAGGTGGCAGGGTGGCATGGTCTGAGTTAAAGCACCTCCCTGGGGAAATATCCTACCAGAGTCAGCCTGCCTTCACCCGCCCCCAATCTGGAAGAGGCCAGACACAGCCTTCAGAGCCCACATTTCAACCCCAGGTCTCCGGCTCTGGCAGAAGCAGCTGGCTCCTGGGGCCAGAGTTATGAACTCAGGGAAAACAGGGGAGAGTGCTTTGAAATAAGAAATAGGAGATGGGGCTGAGCAGATAGTTCTGAATCAGCCTGCATGCCCTCCTGGCATTTTACATGTCTCCTACGCTCAGGGTCAGATCTCCTAAAGCCAGAGAGAGGAATGGAGAGGCCCCATTCCCCGAGAGGGACCACCCAGTGGTCAGCTGCCCTTGGGATACGAGTTGAGAAGTCCACGGTGGAATGAGAGGCAAGCTGACTAGACACAAGGTTTGGGGGAAATGTCCCTTCCCCTGGGGAGTTGTTGTTTCTGGTCTTTAATTAGTGATTTAATACTTTTTTTTTTTTGTAGTGGTGGGTAGGGTGAGGAAGGAAGGAGGTGGGGAGGAGGTAATATTAGTGCATGTTTGTTAAAAATCTATTCTGTGAGAAAATGATTTTTTTGTTCCTCTCCAAAATAAGAGATGATGATTTTTAAGTCTGCAATGTGTGTCTGGAGTTAGCAGGTGGATGGGTCAGGGCCAGCCCTGGTTCCTCACCCCTTCTCAGCCATGAGACCCCCAGGGAGCCAGAGGCACAGAAGTGCCACTGCCCCACAAACAACTGCCGTCTCTACACTATCCCCATCTTTACCCTGAGTGTGGATTAAGATAGAGATCACAGACACACAGGTCCAAGATGTCTCTTCCATTTCAGATTCCCATTGTAAACGAAGTCCTTGTTAATCTGTGCATGCCTTCAGTTGCAAAAAGAAATTAGCTGATAAAAACTAGTGAGACACATTCATACATTAAATTAGCTTTTTTTCTTTAACTTTCTTGAGGTTGGTATATCAGTAAGAAAAATAGCCTCTCTCTTAGGATCTAGCCAAAAAGGCTGAAAGTCAATCAGTTGGTAATTCACCAAAAAAGGGAGTTAAAGAAAGGAAAAGGCAACTGGAGGCTAAGAGTTTTTTTGTTGCTGTTGTAGTTTTTTTTAAATAAACATCATCTTTTATGTATAATCAAATTCCCATATTTTTTCCTATAAAGAATTTGCTTTAGTTTTTCCATAAGGCATTTTTTGTTTCTTCCTATTTAAATTTTCTTACAGAGTTAAAACCATAAATAAGAGAATTTAAACTACTAACATGACATGTGTCAATATCTTAATTCAGCCAGACCTGGTAAATTCTATCAAAACTAGACAGTTAAATAAGAACCACGTTATAAAAATATTAGCCAAAAAAAGACTATTAGATAATTCTGCAAACTCAAATATGAAACTGTACTAAACAAAATATGTGCAAACGTATACAAGCATAGAGCCATGTGGCAGGGTTATGCTCAGATTAGTTTAAAGCTTGCTCTAGTGAATTTAATTCAAGAGTTGTTCCACGGTGGTAGTGTTTACTTTGACCTCACACACGAGTCAAAGAAAAATATAATACACACAACCACGTCCCCAAAAGGTCAGTGTCTAATGGAGTCGGCACTTCATTCCGTCCACACCTGGGACTGCCTGAGGTGTCACTAGGGCTAGGGGTGAAGGGCAAAGATGAAGCAGTCATCCCAAATCCTGGACAAGGCAGTGTCCCCGAGACCCTTGGGCTGAGGCTAGGGGGAAGGGCAACACAGGACTCCCACTTCCTCATCCAAGGCCCTGGCGAACCAGCTGACCCCCACAGGAACCAGGACCCTGCAGTTGGGAGGAGGTGGTAAGGGTAGCCAGGCTGGGTCAGGGCGCTTCCAAGACATGGACCGCTGACTGGGGACGGGCAAGCGGGCTGCTGGAAGGTTTGGAGAGCCACGTGCTGGGTCTACAGTATCAGCAAGCCCGCTGCCACTCAAATCTGAGGGTCGAGGCTGTAAAGACGATCCTTCTATCAGGAAGCCAGAACGAGAAAGCCCTAACACCACCCCCAACTCTTAGACACCATTCCACAAACGAGAGTCCCTGCTCCGTGTCCTCAGGCACAGGTGCTCAGGGCATTCGCTCTGCAGCAGGTCCCAGGCCCGGACACTAGAGAAGAAAAGGGTTGGTTGTGCCAGTGGCCTGAGCTGCTGATGGGGGAATGCCCACCATGTTCATTGGGGTGGGGCCCAGTGGTGTCAGGGAGGAACTGCTGGGCCCTAGAACTGGGTGTGAGGCTGTGGAAGTCATGGAGGCCATAGCCACAGGCTCCACACTTGGGCCAGGTCCAAAGGACGTGCTGGTTCCCAGTACTGGACTCCCCCGCAGCTGGTTCAGTGTCAGCGGCTGGGGCTGGTTCACCTGGAAGGGGTTGACAGGGGCCGAAGCCGTGGCTGCACCTGGGGAGAGAGCAGGAGGAACAGTGGCTAGAGTCAGAATAACATCCATCCCCAAGTCCAAGGGCTGGAAGACCACAGCCACCAGGAGCATGTATGCGCAGGCAGCCAGCCCCCTCAGGGACTGGGTACACCCTGGTCTCTGCTGTGCCGAAGAGCCTGTGGCAGCACCAGCCATCACATGGCAGGCACGTCTGCTGACTAAATGAATCAACTGTTTGGATGAGAAGACTAAAGCTATAACCTGGAGAAGCCAAGTGACTTGTCCAGGGTCAAAGCCTAAACGAGGCAGTACCAGGAATGTGCCAAGCTCCTGCTCGGTGCTGGCACCCTAGGATTCCTTCAGCAGCTAATAACTGGCCCCCTTATTCTGTTTGCTGAGCTCTGTGACCACAAGTGCCCAAGAGAGAGGAGTGGAAAGGGGGAATTGGGAACTGCAGCATGCGGCTTGAGAGTGGCAGGCCCCACAATGTACCGTGGGACCCCAAAGGCTCTGTCAAGTCCAATAGTCAAGAATGAGATGCAGCTCTGTCTTACCCAGTGTTTCCAGAATTTGTCTCACATCAGAAAGCCTTTCCCCCTTTCAGCAAAAACACTTATTGATACTCTGCCAAAAAACATGGGAGCTGCCAGCACTGGGTCTTCAATGCAGCCCAGCCTCTTCTCAAAAGGGTTCCCAGCAAAGGCATCCCTCCAAGTCACTGCCAAGAGATGCTGCACTGTTCCCTGCACCACACTGGGGAAGGCAGGCCCTGCTCAGGGCATACCCAAGATTCTTGCATCAGCCCTTCCTCAAGTAACCCTAGGAGTCGGGCTCTGCAGATCACCCCGTTAGAGATAACCAAACTGAGACTACAGAGCAGAACAATGACTTGCTCGAGGCCCCTAGCCTAGAAGGGTCAAAGCTGGGATTCCACAAATGACAAAAGCCTGGAGCCACCTGTGTGGCCTGGGAAATGGCCCTGGAGGTCCATCCAACAAGACTACCTGAACCTCCTCTATCTTGGCTGCAGCACCCAGGGACCATGACCTGTTGCAGACAGCACAGCTGCCCCAAGGTCTGATAAGGTCCCCTCCTTTCCCCCAAAAGCCTGGAGGAGGTTGCTGATAGACACAGCCTGCCAGTGATCTCCAGCGGGGCACCCCAGGGCGCTCTGGGTAGAGGAAGCAGATTTCCTGGGGTAGGAACAGGGCTCCATGCTGGCTTAGGAACCTGGGTTCTAATCTAAGCTCCACCCAGGGAACAAGGAGCTATGGAGCCACCCTCCCCTGAAGGTAACATCCTCATCCATCTCAGGACCATACAGCTGGGCAGGACCCAGGCCCTCTACATACCCTACTTCTGCCCTAGGGTCCCCAACCTCAGCTCTCGAAGTCCTTGGGTCCTTCACTGCAGAGTTCTATCAGGGGCAGTGGTCCAGATCTTCAGATCCCTTCATCATGGGGCAGGTCTGGGGCTGAACACCTTGAATATGACATGTTTTTGCGCTTGAGGAGCTTAAGGCCTGCCTTACTGGGAAATCTATGGGGAAGAAAGAAGTCTCCTAGAGGAAGAGGGTTGTCTGGGCTGGGCACTGAAGGACGGATACGATTTCCTACTGAAACAAGAGGGAGGACGTTCCAGGCAGAGGGAACAAAATGTGTATGCATGAGGAGTGTTAGGGGCTTGGTACAGCTGATGGTCTAAGCACACAGGGAGAAAGCAGGACGGTGGGGGCAGGCTGCAACTCCTTGGACACTAGAGCAAGAGCTGGGGGCTTGTCTTACAGTCCCTGTGGAGAGGAGACCAAGGGTGGAGAGCAGGTTTTTAGACAAGAGCCCAT